AACAATAATCGAGAATAATTGTATATCGCGAAACCATTACGTAACAAAATATGAGATCGACTTTTTTTGTTCTTTTTTACCGAAAAATCTTGCTTTTTTTCAAATGATTTTTAAGAATGTTCCAAGGACATTTTTTCAAAGTCGTCGATAGAAACGAAACGAAATAATACGAAGGATTCATCTTCATAGATCAAAGTAAAAAGATAAAACGATCGCATCCTTTACTCGGTTTATTCGTAATAAGTGACAATTACCAAACCGAGAGCAATAAATTCGGTAGTTTCTAAAACGTACGTAGAATAATTGTCTCTTTCTAAATCCCATAAACACGCCATATTGATTTCCACATGTTGTCCGAGTTTTTGTATTATCGTCATGACCACTGAATATTTATAACTAAAATAGAAAAATCGTACGAGCAAATTCATGAAAATCATATAAATGTAATATGATTATTTAAGATAACTCTGGGGAAAATTTGAAAATATAATTTGACGATAATACCGATCGTAGGATTTTTTAAATATTTTATCGCGCACTTTCGCTGACATATCCTTACAAATCTGAAGACATACGATAGGATTATATCTCATATCTTGCAAGGAGGAAGACATTACGTCCTTCAATATTTTATCGACCACTTCTATTTTTAATGGAACGAAAGATTCTAATCGGTATGTATTTTGATATTTTGGTATCTAAAAAATTGAAATAAGGATTATACTGATTTGATTAAAGTCGAATTCACATTTGAACAGAATCCATTAGTAAAGTAAACGAATTGTTTGGAAATATATATTCGTACCTTTAAACCCCCTTTCAATGTTCTAAATATCATGCTAGTTCTTAAAAAGCCATGGGATAACAATCGCGTCATAGAGGTTTTATTTCGACGTATAACTAAAGAATTTCATCGGGATATAACCAAACATTTTCTTAAATGTTATTGCAAAATGAATATTAACGATAAAATGTATATTTTACTAACCACCAGACATAATTATAACATTTATGTATATAAATATCCACTATATAAATTAATGAAAGATATAAAAATATATTCATGTAAAAAGAAATAACATCTGACAATTACATAAAAAGAATATATAATTGAACAAGTTCTACGACATATTTTTTATGAAGCATTTTGAATTTAGCGCGTATCAATGACTTTGATAATATAAATATAAAAGTAACGTAACTCGTATACCTTGTACTTGTTCTATTATCATTAACGATAAAATGAAGTCAAATAAAATTTCGTAGTAATTTTTCAAGTGGGGGAAATATTTTCGACGAAAATTCTATTCTATTATATGATAATTTAAATTGTTGAATTAACACGAATAATTGATTTAAATAATTAATGAATATTACTGCATCTATTATTGAATAAGATATTGCATGATTATAATTTGAATTTATAAATTTATAAAATTTTAAACTCATCGCTGATTGAAGGATGTTCTAGTGATAAAATAAACACAACCAATAAACGTTAACCTGACTCGTAAGTAAAATGGAGGTACAAATGAAAGACGAGTGTAACAGTTGGCAGCACAGTATTCTTTTTCGAACGTTTCGCTGTACAGGCGTTGTAATCGTGGCTCGCTGCCACTTTAACCCGGTACACCAAAAGAGGTTTCTAAGATGGCGAAGAAAACGTTAGTTGATAAAACGCCTCAAAATGAAGATACTGTCAAAAATAATGATGATATTTTGAATGACGATGAAGAACCAAACTTCAGTGATCCAGAGGGTTTTGTTGATGATATTACCGACGAAGGTAGGCACGTTTTATTTGAAATGACATTCAACAATTGTTACCCTAAGTCGAAAGAAGGCATGGTCGCGTACAATTTGGAAATGTGGCACATGCGACATAACCTCCAAAAATCAAACTTCGATTTCTCTATATATAAATAAAGAGAGAGAGGAAAAAAAAGTGAATTTACACAACTTTTCTTTATGTAATAATTGCATGCTTTTAAAACATTTTATATTATTTCTAATCTTTCTTTGTTTACATTTTTATATCAGAATTACTCGGTGACATTTTAAAACAAAAACCCTCGGAGACGGATGGAGTTGAATCTGTTGTCGTCATCGACGGTGTACCTCAGGTGGAGCCAGAAAGATTAGAAAAATTGCAATCGTTCATCAGTAAGGTCCTTGGAAAATTTGGTACAATAGTTAATCAATATTATCCCAAAAATGAAAATGGATATACCAAAGGGTTAGTTATATTGTATCTGTCTATGAATTAAGATCCATTATAAGAATAATAATTTTAACTTTTCATCTTTTTTACTACTGTAAAATAGGTATATCTTCTTGGAATATAGTAGTCCAATGAATGCATTGGCAGCTGCCAAGTCTGCAAATAATCATAAGATTGATAAGCAACATACTTTGAAAGTAAATCTGTTTACCGACTTCAAAAAATACGAAGAAATTCCTACTGATTGGGAACCGCCGAAACCTCAACCATTCAAAGCAGCTAGCGATTTGCATTATTATTTATTAGAACCAGATGCATATGATCAGTTTTGTGTACTGTATGGAAATGGTCCAGCTGTATCTGTTCAAATTTGGCAAAATTCTGCTCCTGAACCTACATTGTTGGAAGATCGTCCTGTAAGTTTAATTACAAATAATATCTAATGATTAAGAAATCATCAACAATGAAATTTATAAATATATTTTACTAACAGCGTTGGACAGAGACATATGTTAAATGGTCACCTTTGGGTACATACTTGGCAACCTTTCATAAATTAGGTGTTGCACTGTGGGGTGGCCCTCAATTTGTCCAACAAGTGAAATTCAGTCAAAGAGGCGTTGAATGTATTGATTTTTCACCTTGTGAACGTTATCTTGTAACATATACACCACGAACTGACCTAGGCTCAGATCAAAAACGTTTGGCTGTTTGGGATATTCTATCTGGTCAAGAGAAGCGTTCTTTCTATCCAGAAGGATCTTCAGTGTGGCCTATATTCCGTTGGTCCCATGATGATCAGTATTTAGCTTGGATGGGTATAGATGTTTTAAGTGTTTATGAAACACCAGTAAGTTTTTCCTATATAATATATGTATGTGGCTGTACACATATATAAGTTCATATAGGAATAGTTGTAAAATTAAAATGAACGAATTTATATTTATTTTATAGTCATTCAGACTACTGGATAAGAAAAGTATTAAAATACCCGGTATTAGAGACTTCAGTTGGTCTCCTACAGATAATGTTCTAGCTTATTGGGTGCCAGAAGATAAAGATGTTCCTGCAAGAGTCACTCTGCTGGAAATTCCAAAGTAAATAATTTCTTATTTGTATTTTTTTTTTCCTCAAAGGCACAATTTTTTTCTTGTATACAAACTAATAATTGATATATCGTTATAGTCGTAACGAGATACGAAATAAGAACTTGTTCAATGTTGCTGATTGTAAGATATATTGGCAGAAATCTGGAGATTACTTGTGTGTAAAAGTAGATCGTTTCGCTAAACGTAAAGAAAAAACAGAACAAAAATATACAGTAAGATCGATAAAACATTTGAAAATGTACATACATTTAAATGAATTATTAAAAAATGAATAATTTTTTAATATGATATTTTTAATTATAGGGAATGTCATATAATTTTGAAATCTTTCATATGAGAGAGAAACAGATCCCTGTTGACAGTGTAGAAATAAAAGAACCAATCCATGCTTTCGCGTGGGAACCAATTGGCAATAAATTTGCTATAATTCATGGAGAAATTCCAAGTGTAAATGTAAGCTTCTATGAAGTCAGATGTGGTCATCAACCTGCTCTTCTTAGTAAGTTTTTGTAAATTTATTTATTAAATCTTATTTTCTTCTTCTATTTGAAAAAATTATTTTTAAACCTTAAATTCACTTAACAGAAAAATTGGAAAAAAAGGCATGTAACCATTTATTCTGGTCACCATCTGGTCAATTTGTTGTATTGGCTGGTCTAACAACAATGGCTGGTGCTCTTGAATTTATTGACACTAATGATTTTACTATTATGAATTCAACTGATCATTATCAAACTTCAGACGTCGAATGGGATCCAACTGGAAGGTTTGTTAAATTTTATTTTCTTTTTTTTCCCTCTTCTAATATCATATTTTATAATTAATATTTTCCTGCCATTTAGATATGTTGTAACAGCTGTCTCTAGCTGGAAAACTACTGTTGATAATGGTTATTGGATATGGACATTCCAAGGTCGTATTTTGAAAAGAGTTAACTTAAATGCATTCAATCAGTTATTATGGCGTCCTAGACCACCGACTCTTCTTACCGCTGAACAAATTAAAGAAATTAAAAAGAATTTGAAGAAGTATTCCGCTCAATTTGAAAGCAAAGATCGTATGAGATTAACACGTGCTTCCAAAGTATGTGAACTTTTAAAATGTATTAATTATATCAAATATATATGTGTTTTTATGTATCATTATTTTAATAACTATATTTTATCATATAGGAACTTATTGAGAAACGATGTGCAGCAATGAAAGCCTTTGAAGAATATCGCACAAAGAGAATAGACGAATATAATAATCAAAAGAAACGTCGCCTTGAATTACGTAACAGTGAGTAAAATTATCACAAATGTTATTAAAAATTAATAACTCTTAAATCTAGCATTGTAATATACTCTTCCGTATATTTTTTAGATATCGATACAGATGAATTAGATTCTGATTCTAAGAACGTAGAAGAAGAAGTTGTAGAATTTTTCGTAAAAGAAGAAACGTTCATCATTGATGATAAATAAATAATAATAAAGCCATCAAATTTTTCTTCTGCTTGCTGGTCTTGGAAATCTCTGAAGCAAAGTCAGTTGAATCAACTAATTGTGCAGTGTCACCGTGGTTACTATAATAGAGTCATATTGATTGTGACTCTATAATTAAAAATGACTGTCCTATACGGTTATGGACAATTCCTATCATATTCTTTCTGTATTGTAATTGGAATGAATTCTGTAATTCCAATAATCCGCATAAAACGTCGGAACCATAGTAACATAAAATATTACCACATCCCATACAGAATAGCATGTAGACAAGGAAATAATTATTCTATCAATTTGTACACATCAGAGAATTTTTTTTATTTATTTAACCTATGCCCATGATAATTTATCATTTGTAAAAGTAAAATATTTCTTATTAAAAAAAAATCGACAATTTTTACATGATATATGTAATAAATGAATTAGAGAAGATATAATACTTACATTATAACATAATTTATTTGTGTCTGATAGGTTTGTCTGTATTAATGAAATATGTACCGTAATATACACTATGTACTCTATGTGTTACAGAATTTTTTTTTTATTTACAGTCTTATGATACGTGTGCTTACGTGAATATTTGAACCAAGCTATATAGATAATAATCCTTATTAACTTAAGCTATCGTTCATCAATAATACTCCATTTGTATATATTAATATAATGTAAAGTTTATAATAATTAAATAAGTTTTGAGGTATCGGTCATTGAATGAAACCATCGAAGACGTTGGTATTGTACTAAAAAAAATATCGAAATAACACAATTGTTGTACGTATCCAAGCTGGGGGTATTCGGTCTTCTTGAGAAAATGTTCTTTTTGTAACTAGTTTAGCGTACATAAACAAACGTTCCTGTTCTTCTTGCAAGGCCATTTGTAATTTTTCATTTTTAGTCACGATTGCAATTTGTGTTTCCAAATCTCTATTCACTGATCTATAACCTAATATATTACAGGCCATAAAATATTATTACCTATTGCATTTTTCTTTAATTTTATTATGACATACCAAAATTAGGTGATCCAACAAGAGTCAGACAAGGTCTTTGTTGACCTGGTAAATAGTACCAAAGTCCTTTAGCATGATATGTCCATCCTGGTTTAATAAATTCCCATAATGTTACTCTTTCTTGTTGACCTAATCTTTCACAAGTTTTATAAAATGATTCTTCTATCTTTGTGTATGCTGCTGGAATACTACTTGCTATACCTTTTGCACCTACGGGTTAAGATTATTATCATACTAAATCTATATTATTATTTGAATGAAAAAATTTTGTATATAAATTTAGCGTGCATACTAAAAAACATACTAAAAAATCCATTAGCAGTAGGATGTGCTGTTAGAAGATCACATGTAGCTTGACAATGTTTAAGTACTGCACTGATATAATCTGAAGTTAAATTAAAATATCCAGTTGCTAATTTAAGTCTCGCTCCCAATGAAGCTGATTGCAACAACTTCAATGTTACTTCACTATCGTGTAATATATTAAGTTGGCCCATTTGTACTAATGGAAATATCCAAGTATCTGCATCTAAAGCTTCTTCTAACAAATAAAATAACTATTAATTTGTATATAGAGCTATCAAATTCTTAAATATAAAAATTAATTACTTTGTTTGTTAAGCTCAATACGTTTTTGTATTTCATTTTGAAAAAGCGTTTTTATTCTGTGTGCAGCTTCCTCAGAAAATTCTTGCTTTGGTCCTTCGCATGGATGAGAACTTAATGTAGAGTTCAACTTTGTACTACCGTCTGATTGCAAAACAAAACTAAATTCTCCCACTCTTTTGACTAAATCATCATAGAAATCACAGAGTTCCTTAGCATCCTCTATTATAAAATATCGGTCCTGCCGATTCGTGAAATAATCATTACTTAAATTTGCACTATAAAAATATAAAATCCATTAATATTATCTTACTATAAAACGATTACTTATGCACATACGTACATACCCACTAATTATCAAAGTATCATCTATCATATACAATTTCATATGTTGTAAACCTATAACTTCGTTAAAACGATCAGGCATAATAACCTTTAGAAGTCCACGAAGTTTAGGTGTATGATAGAGAAAAACTTCAGAGCAATGAGCATATTTTCCTTTGAGTAATGGTTCTAACATTTTACGTGAATTTTGTACACCTCTAGAACCTCTCATGTAATCTAATAGAAATCTAGCTTTAATATTTCCATTACTTGAAAGAATAGCATGCTCTATTGTTTGTACCTATAAACAATTATAAATTTTATACTTTGTTTATAAGATTATATAATATAAGTAGTAAATGATTCTGTTGTTTACCAATTCAGATTCTAATTTTCCAGTTCCCAAATATAAGGACGCAAATGTGATTCTCCTTTTAGCAAATTTACACATTTCCAATAGTGTACCATAAAAATGAACAGGTTCATGAATTATTGTAATCTGTAATATAACACCAATATACAAGATAAAATTAATCAATCCAAATATATATATATATATATATATATATATATATATTATCATTAATTTTACCTTTGAACCATTTATAGGAAATCCTGGTGCAACTTTGTGTAACCAGCATAGATTGTCCATTTTGGGATGTAACATTTCTACTTCTAAAAGTTTATCTTCCTGTAAAATTGTGATTTGTGTTCTGTTTCTTGCGATAAATAAATTTATTCTATACGGTTTTAAATATGTTTGAAGATTTACTAGTTTCAATCCATTACACCTAGAATTTTATTACAAATATATTAATTAAAAAAGAAAAAAAAAGGAAAGAACATATTTTGGAGGGAATTGTAATTATATACATTTCATGTATATGATCATTATTTATATAATACTTAATTGTATATATAGAAACATCAAATAGCAATGAAAATAGTTTAATGTATTATAATAAAATGAAAGATCATAAAAGACATTAAATTAAGTACACAATTAGATTTTATAAAATGTCAAAAAAAGATTTGAGGTTAACGGGATATATTATTTCTTTTTACATTAGAGAAATTATATTGTAATCGTTATATAGAATTACCGTTTCAAAATTCGCTTCCAAAACTGCGAGTTGGAAATGTGCATGAGTAAAATTTATAATATTTCTACAAATGAAATCCTTGGTTTAATTTGTAAAGCAGTGCTATGTCAAAGGAGCTTGTAAAACACATCCAATATATACGTAGAACTTCAAAAATTATATTAGTCACGAAAGTGTCGTCAGAAATATAAAATTATATGATTTCGCAAAAACCGTACTGTATATAATTTTTTTAATATAAATAAAATCAAAATGACTATAACACATTAAAATTTTCTATTTATACTTATGCAATATTAAAAACATTACACTTAATAATATTTATTCAATCATACAATTTTTAATTCTATGTACAATGTGATAAAAATTAAATATGAAGAAAGATAGAAAAGTCAGAATTTGATAATATTTAAAAAATCAATATTTTGAATATTAAAAATACTGAAAATTTTATTCGTATACAAAAAGTCATATTTAAAGCTACAAACATATATATATTGATTGAGAGAAAACAGGACCTCGAGCCGAAATCGACGATAATTAAAATATTACTTAACGATAAATTGCTAAATTTTTATAATTTACAATGAATATATATATATATATATAATAAAAATTGAGAGAAAGAGAGTATCAAATTATATAATATATTAATGATAAGAATGAAAAACAATTTTCAATATAAACAAAAAACCAGTGTCTACGAAATAATTCGTCTATGATTTATGTATCTATTGTACAGTTTATCAACGATTCATAACGTGACTACGAAATAGTTCATCAATGATTCATTATGTGTCTACAGAATGGTTAATCAATGATTTATCGATTTATCGATTTATCGATATCATATTAATATTGCATTTCGATAAAATTGTTAACTACACTAAAATAATTTTCATTGGTGCACATTGATTGTAATTATAATTTACTAATTTTTATCATTTAAGACAATAAACGTTTTCAATTTAATTTTAATATAAATTAAACAATATTTATTTTATTTAAGACAATAAAATTAGAGAAGTAAGAGCTGTTTAAATAAAAAACCTTCGAAAACGAAAGTAGTACTGAAAAATATTATGAACCAAGATGGCACCACTATCAATTATCGTAAATTGGCGTTCCCTTTTTTATGTTTATTGTATAAAGTGGCTTATAAGTTGGACGTATATAAAATATTTTCGACTATCGTGTACGTGATTGAAAAATAATTTTTGGAAGTAAGTGGAGTATCTAATTGTATTATTGTTAAATACTCTCTTTAATCTTCCTTTAACATTAGTTAACCATATTTATTGTTTATGAAACATGATAGGGAGATAATTAAACAAAAATATAAATATTCTCTACTTTATTATATCTTAACTCGTTAATTCGATAATTATTGAGATTTATCATAATAAATAGATTTATGTTATTCATTCGTATGACTCAATGTATGTTAATATTTGCGAATAGATTAGCCTAGAATAAATAAATAAATACATTCGAGAACTTCGTATCAAATATATTAATGTGAATGAAATTTCAATGAATATTTAATTAAATAGTTTGTTATTATTGAGATTTTGTAACGTTCAGAAGAAAAATATTTAATAATTACTTATAATTATGTGTCATAGTGTGGAAGTTTGAAAAAATTAGCGGTAATGCACCTTCTAAAAATAACTGATTACTCATGCTTGTTATTACACAAGTGTAATAACCACACATATTCATGTGTTTTTATGTCGGTGTATGAAATTTTGGGCGTTGACACTTGTTAATAATATTTTATTATCTTCTTTATTGTAATCTCGATTTAAAAAAAAGGACAATTTTTACGCGTCCGTCTTTTTCGAATATATGTTACGAATTTTACTCAAGAAGGATTGTTATATTATTAAAGAAATTATAAAACAATTGAAATTAATAATGTGCAATTCTTTTCCTTTCTACTTGCTGCTCATAATAATTTGCGTTTTTATAAACTTAGATTTATACAAATTTTTGTAGTAACTATTATTATAAAAATTTAAATGTAATATAATATCTGTACAATGTTATCATATCTAGTTTTAGAATTATGTAACTGAAGATATCAAAAACAATATAAAACGACAGATGTTCAATGCCTATGACATTTAGCTTTTTTTTATATTAATTAAATCAAAATAGAATGTATATAAGATATAATTGAATTAAAATATAAATATTCCATTTTTTTTCTCTAAATAGATCTAAAATTATTTCTTTTTTTAATGAAAATAAATTTTCATGCATTATTAACATCGTCTTAATATTTCCTTTTTTATATATACATAATTAATATATATATATATATATATATATATATATATATATATATATATGTATATATGTATATATATATAGATATGACGTATAGTAATATAAATCATATATAGTTAATCTAGTGCAAAATGAACAAAAATACTCCACCACCACCGTATGAACCTCCACCATATGCACCTCCATCTTATAGCCAAACTGTAGGAGGTGTTCCACCTGCTAGTCCATTTACATCTGCTGACATTTGTGAGTTTCAATATAATCATTCAATTTCAAATATTATATATTTTTTATAATATAAATCCATCGTAACAAATAATTTTGTCGCAATACAGATGCACAAGGACCAACTATTGTAACTACTATTGTACCTATGGGACCAGGACCGACTCATACAATTTGTCCACATTGTCAAGCTGAAATTGAGTCTACAACCAAAACAGAACCTGGCATGATCGCTTATATTTCTGGAGTTGTAATAGCTTTACTTGGGTATATATATATATATTTAAGAAGTTATTTGATCTACAAGGTGAACAAAATAATATATATTATGTGACAATAATTTTTCCAGTTGTTGGTTTGGTTGCTGTTTAATTCCTTGTTGTATTGATGAATGTATGGATGTACATCATACCTGTCCAAATTGCAAAGCTTATCTCGGACGTTATCGAAGATGAATCAAAAACAAAAACTTGAAATTTTTACTTGGAATTTCAATGTATAATATTATTTATGATGTTATCTAATATGAAATTTCGTTAATTTTATCTTCTTATCTTACGTGTATATTTGTGTGTATAATCACCAGTATCTGAAAGATAAAGTGTAAATAATATTAAGCTTTTTTCCAAGGTATGGCAAAATGTTTAACAATTACAGGAATGAAATGTTTTCTTTTCTATTAATTCTATTTATTACCAGTTAAAAATATCTCACATGGAATTGTATAAAAAGAAAACATTGCATATTTATATAAAAGAAAAAAAGTTAAAATCTATTTTGATGAATTTTATTTAAATATATTATTTTTCTTTATAAACTATTTGTTTATCATTACGAGCACTTATATTTAATTCTCATTTAATAAATTACAATATAGGCTATTTTCAAATAAGGCATTTGCGAAAACAAGCGCTCTATTTTGACAATTTAGCCTTTAATTTTTTATAATAATATTTAAAAGATTATGATACTGAATCAAATTTTAATACTAATATATTAGTATTAAAAAAACTTGTATAATAACAGATATATGTATTATAACATTATTTTTAATATACACGATGTATGAAATGAAAACTTTATGTACAATTATTTTTTTTTCATAAAAAAACAAATTTAAGAACAATTTTAAGTTTAAAGAATCTTAACATTGTCTTAAAATCTACGCTACTTGATTCTTTTTCCTTCAATAAAAATAAAATTAGAAATGAAATAGAAATACAATGAGGTTTATATTATAAAAACAAATATTTTTGTATACATTGTAGGAATAAGGACATACTTTATTTATAATTTGCAGTACAAAGACCCTGCAGGGGGTAACAGAGATTTTAATAATTATTATAAACATTGAAGCAGAAGATTAATGTACACAGACATGGACTGATGCCTAAAGCATTAAATATATAGAACTCTAATAAACAAAATTTACTAAGAATGAAACTTATCTTAATACTTTTCAATGTCAACTAATAATCATACTATAATTGTATCTCTTCCAGAACCTTCTAAATGTATTTTGACATAAATTATTTTTATAACATATTTTATATAGACTATTCTATTGTCGAACATTTCCTTGTCGAACAACAAGATTTAATCATTATTTCAACAGAGATTGACAAGTAATTATCACCTACATGCTTTCAATAATTAAATAAGCAGGATTAATATATTATTTACTTTGTTTAATTTGATTAGTTTTCTTAGATTTGGCTTCAATTTTATCCTCCAATTTATGAATCAACTCATCCAACTCGATCTAAACATAAAATGAGAGAAATAATATTTACAATATTAATTATATACAAATAAAAGTTATATATATACATGAATGAATAATATATATATTTACCTCACTATATGTGTACATTAATGTACAGCTTTTTAAAATTGGTTTATTTTTGGTAAGCAATTGTAACGCGTGTACTAAACAATAAACACTATCATCTTGCGAATCGTTTACCAAAGATACAAATAAATTAGCTCTACAAGTTTCACACTCAAAATCTCCATCATCTTCCTTCACCTTTTTCCCTTTTCCACGTTTACCGCTATCAGGTAAGGGTAATCTTTCTTTATTGGTGAGACCCAAAAATTTTAATTGCTTACGATGTTCAATTTCTCTCTCACGAATTTTTATAACGCTTGGTAAAATCTGAAATACAAAATTTATTTAAAACAAAAATATAAATTTGTAAAAAATGTAGATTATATCAAAATTATAATTTTTACCTGTTTCAATATATCTATATTAGATCGTGAATCATTAATAATATTAAACAATAATCTTTCAAAGGAAAAAATTGAAGGCTCACAACTGTCTTGTATGTCCTGGAATAAATTGTATAAATATATACATATCACAAATCTATTATACAAAAGATATGAACACACATTCTAATACATACTTTGAATACTTGTTCTGCAGTTTCTAGCCAAGAGGGCTGTGCAAAGTAAACACTTTCTGATACCACATATCCTGTACATATACTAGATGTAAACGCTTTTGGAAATACAATAATAAATTGTCCAGGCTCTTGAACTGTCTGACACAAAGACACACCATTGCTGACTAACAATTCTGGTGGTACCATAGCAGTGTCAGAGGGTAACCATATAGTTTTGTTTTTACAATATTGTGGTACCATTTTTGTTAAAGCTTCCTTAAAATTATTGTTGTGTTCGTCTGGTATACCATACCATATTTTTTTAGCACCTGTATGCAAATACTCGATCCATGGAAGGCCATGAGGATCGCGATACCAGCAGCAAGCAGTAAATAACATACCAACGTGTAATGTTGGTACAGTTACTCCTAAAAAATAAAATTTATATATATATATATATATATATATATATATATATATATATATATATATATAGTATTAAAATAATTGTAATTGTATATATAAAATAATAATTTTATTCCCTACCCATTAATGGTCCTAAAGCTCTTAATACCGATCCTGCATTATTCGTAAGAACTTTAAGATTCCATGGATGTCTTGCAAATGGACTATTTTTGGCAACAGAAAAGCCAAAACCACGACCGCTTGAATCAATACTCGCTGCATGCACGCAGATATGACGCTTTCTTTCTGTTACATGTTTCCAAAATGCAGATTCAACTTCATCCGCAGATGCTCCCTCAGACTCATTTCCGGAACGTTGGTTTTCTCCGAACCACATGCGTTGAGTATTTCGTGCAATTCGGTAGAAGGCATTCAAAGGCATATTCCTGCCCTTTAATATATGTTTAAAATATAATAAAAGTAATGTGTTATGTATATATATACATATATATATATATACATACATATATATATATACATATATACATATAATACATATACATACATATACATATATATATATATATATATATATATATATATATATATATAAATATAAATAACATTTAGATATAGAGAAATATAAATAACATTTTACTTAACTGATAATTAGAGAGTTAGTGTATGAAAATAAAAGTAATAAAAAAAATCAAATAATTTTTATAATAAAATCTTAATATATTGTGATATCATATTGCAACTTTGCCATATACTTTGTCATTTAGATATTTGAACAATTAAAACAATATAATTATCTATTTCGATCGTACTTTCACAATGCACTCCTCAATTTCATCTGAAGTGTCATCATCTTCTTCTTCTTCATTATCAGTTGCAGATGTATCTTGCATTTGCAATGTTTTATTTTCTCTTTTTAACCATTCGGCTTCAACTTCGTCAAATAATTTACTTCGTTCCTCTGTGAAAGGAATAATTTATAAGATATATATTTAAATAGAATTATATAAAAATGATTATATATTTTCTTAATATATTATAATTATACCTGGTGACAATGTATCATATGGCAATAAATATTTACAATAAATATCGTCTAATTTAGTAACACGATCTTGTGCAGATTTCGGTATTTTCATTCCATCTGCCACCTTTTGCCACTTTTTCTTTTCAATAACTTCTTTCAAACCACCTAAACTTTGAACGGTTTGATATAGATGTGGCAAATCAACTTCCATGCCACCTATCTGAAATGATTACGAATGGAAAGTAAAAAAATATGTATGTATAGGTGAATCCTTTTCTACAAAACATAAAGTAAATAAAAAAATATTCTTTACCCATGGTGGACGAGTAAGCGTTATACTTTGTGTCGCTAAATACTTTTTTATAGCCATCATTTCCTTCACATTAGGGCCCCATCTATGTAGCATGCGATGTACATATTGATTGTATGCAGTAAATCGCATATCGTCAGATACTTTACATTCTGGCTACAATAAAAATATTTTAATTCAATTATTATATTATTAATAACATCATCCTTACTTTTATTTATTTTTAATAATTATATAATAAATCGTATAGAGTTAGTATTGAGATTACCTTAAAATTAGGAGGTGGAATAACTCTGCATATTCCATACTTTTCAACAGCAGGTCTAATTTTGTCTATATACTCCAAAGGATCCTGAAAATCTTTTTCTGATGGGTGAAACGTTGGTGCTTCTACTAGACATGCTTCACTACTTGAAATTTTTCCACTTGAGAGTGTACTGTTAGTTATGGCAGATATGTCAGATCCCTTTTGTCGTGATTTTGCTTGAGATCTAAAGATTATTTAATATATCTAAGAACATGGATCATATAATATAAAATAATCAAAATAAAGTGGATGTTAATATACCATTTTACCTCTTGCCTATTTTAATGGAGTCCACAGACGATTTTCTTTCTCTCTGATTTTTTGGCAATTTTACAATTTTTTCTGTAATATTGCTCAACTTTGTTGTATTATTTTGTTTATTTGTTCCTGATACTACATCTTGCGATTTTGTTGGTGAAGGTGTAGAAAATTCAGACGTAACAACAGTTGGAGCCATTATTAAATTAGTAGTATTCGATGCAACGTTTGATGCAACGTTTAATGCAACGTTTGATGTAAGGTTTGACATAACATTTGATGGGGTGTTTGATCCGGCCGATGACGTAGATTGAATTGAACCTTCTGCTGTTAATATGGTAGAATTTTGTGTTGCACGAGTTGTTGGTTGTACTGTTCCTACAGGAGGACAACGAGCGATCGATAGAGGTGGCTTAGTAACTAATTTTGCACGTAGAAGTACTCTTTGATTAGGTCCAGTTGGTCCTTCTGTACCCAATTTAACAGCGACACCTTGTATTAATTGTTGACTTGGAATTAAGTTGGGACCAGCTCTTGTAACTGCTTGCAATGGAATGTAAAACAATTGACCGTCATTGTCAGTATTCATATTACTATTGTCAGTCTGAGTAGATATCTCCATGCTTTTCTGTTGAGTCACATTTGTTTCTTCTTGCTCTTGTTTTTGCACACAGTCATCAAAATTAACTTGAACAGCTATTGAAGTGCTACAATTTACATCGCTCCAAGAAGTAGTCAATTT